TCTGTTCAACAACAACGTTTCGCCCACAAATATACAGTCAATTCACTTTACAGCATATTCTGTGAAGCGCTTTGAGACGTCTAGAAGACGTGAAAAGCGCTATATCAAATGCAAGGATTATTATTATTATTATAACAACAACATGCATTTATAAAGCGCCCATCACGTGGGGTAATGTCTTGGAGCATCTAACAGTGGCAGAACCTGGATATTAAAGATTCCATAACAATAAGAAGAAGCGAATTTCGCCTGGTATCCTGCCCAGCAATCCTCCAGATAAAATTGCTGTATGCAAATTGGCTACCACATCTGCATTCAATTTACAACACTTTACAATAATTTCAGTGAAGCGTTTGAGACGATTAAATGACGTAACAACAAATGCAAGGATGATTATTATTATTGTATTATCTACACCCTTAGTGAAATCCATGGATGCAGTACAGAACAATGTTCCACATTTTAATGTTATTCTTCTTGTGCATTGTACTGGCTCAGCTGATAGCACTCTCATCTCTGAGGTAGAAGGTTGCCAATTCAAGCCCCATGTAACAATTCAAAAAGGTCTAGGCTGATACCATAATACAGTGTGCTGCATAAGAGGTGTGCTTCTTCGAATGAGGCATTAGACCAAGAACCTGTTTAAGGATCTCATGGCACTATTTGAAAAGAGCAGGGAGTTTCTCTTGGTGTCCTGCCAACAATCTGTCAGATAAAATTGTGGATTTACTTCATGGCTGTTTGTGGGAAATGGCTGTACGTAAATTGGCTGTTGTGCTCACCTACAAAATACACAGTGTGCACTTGACATTATTTCCTATCGAGAACTTTGACATGTCCTCCTGACATGAAAGGTACCGTATCAAATGTAATAAATATTATTGTTATATTACATTACACGTTAGGTACAAATAGCCATCCATCGCTAAAGCCAAGCTCAATAAGCTTTGACACAAATTGTGCTGCATGACCGATGAGGGGATCTGATTTGCGGCCGTTCAAGGAAGAAAGCCTTATTCAATACAAACACGAAGCGGAAGCTTCATCAAGGAGTAAACTAACACAGCCTTGCTCATTGAGGAGGTACCAAGCAGCTTTCAGAGATTTTCCCACAGGGAGCATAAACAAATTGGAGGACGGTTACAAAGCAGTTCGGGCATCAGAGAACCTCTTAGCTGGGTACTATATAGGTGCTATATAAAAGCGCTTCATAGAATATATTGTAAAGTGAATTGATTGTATATTTTGTGGGCTAAACGCAGCAGCCAAATGCACACAGCAGTGACCCACAAATATATATGGATGGATGATTGAAAGAGGGAGAAAAATAAATGCATTGAGGAGGGTGAAGTAAAGAAGTGGGAAGGGAATTTAAGGCCAATAGTCAGGCCCTATACTTGGGCAAACCAGTGGCAATGGGATTTACCAATAGAGATTCAGTCATTGTAGATCACAACAACATCAACAAACTACATTTGTAGAGCGCCTTTCAAGTCAGCAGGACATCCCAAAGCACTGGACAGTCAGGGATCTGCACCCAAGTTGGTGGTTGGGATCAGATGGGGAGAGGGCGGGGAGGGTAGAGGTAGGAGGGTGACCGGTTGGGTCCCTGCTAGGTTGCTGACTTGCTAGGGCCTTCTTCAAACCTCTCTCTTGTAATATGTGCATGTCCCCACATCCGGTCCCTCACCAGCACCGCCTTCTACCACCTCCCGACGCACCGCCAATACCTCTCCCCAAAAACCGCTGAAACCCTGGTCCATGCCTTTGTCACCTCTCAGCTGGACTAATACAACGCCCTCCTCGCCAGTCTCCCATCCACTACCATCCATAAAATCCAAATCATTCAAAACTCTGCCACCCGTATTCTCACCCGCACGAAACTCCACTCCCCGATTACCCCAGTCCTTGCCAGACTGCACTGGCTGCCTGTCCCAGAGAGGATCGACTTCAAGATCCTCACCCTTGTATTCAAGTCCTTGCACTCCTCTACACCCCCCCCCTACCTCTCTGACCTCCTCTCTCCTCAAAACAGTACCCGTTGCCTTCGTTCCTCCGGGTCTGGCCTCTTCCTCGTCCCCCGAGTCCTCCGCTCCACCCTCGGTGGCCGTTCCTTCAGCCACTGTGCCCCGAGGCTCTGGAACTGCCTTCCTCACTCCCTTCGCCTCGCTCCCTCTCTTCCCATTTTCAGATCTCTGCTGAAGACCTTTCTTTTCGACTGCGCCTTTGATCACCTTCCCACCCCTCCCCCTGGCTCGGCCCTGGATCCGTTACTGTAAAGCGCTCTGAGACGCCAACCGGCATGGAGGGCGTTATATAAATCCAAGTTGTTGTTGTTGTTAGTTGGTCAGCCTGGCTCAAATCTCACCTGGCTGTAGAAATCTCACCTTGAGGTTTGGTGGGTAAGCAGGTCCGAGAAGTAGGGAGATGCCACGGTATGATGGGAGTACAGAGTTTAATGCAGTTGAGTGTACGGGCGGCAAAGTTCCGTATAGGTTCAGGGCTGTAGTGTAGCCTGACCCCTCCCTCTTCAATCATGATGAGTCAGTCATTTTTGCTCCCTGTTTGTTCTGTTGCCAAATGCTTTTCAAATGTTCAAATCCAAAATGCTGAAGGAAGTGCATTTAGGAATCTGTTTGTTCAGAGCTTGGTTAGTGTTTCTCTTTTGTTGTTAACATTCAATGTCATCTGTTGAGTCCATCATAGGAAGACTGTTTAAGATCAAAGCCTCCTGTTTTTTCAGTGGGATGTGCCTCGCCTTTTGTGTGTGTGTGTATACCAGAATAAATCTCCATTATGTAGTTGCATTTCAGCAACTGACATATGACTCATGCATAATATCATTTTATTGTAGGGTTCTCATTCTCCACCATTGTTTTCACCAATTTTTCATTCCCATCCAATTTTCTTTCCTCTGTTAAAAGTGCTGATGTAAGGTGTCAGCCTGGCTCAGTTGGTAACACCCTTGCCTCTTGAGTCAAAAGGGTACAAAACTGACATCGGGACTTTGAACTCACATAGTCTAGGCCGACGATCCAGTGAGGTGCTGGGGGAATGCTTCAATGTTGGAGGTGCCATCCTTTGGATGAGACTTTAGACCGAGGTCCCTCAGGTTGACGTTAAAGGTTCCATCAGTTTCATGAAGAGACTTCCATATGGGTGAGGTGCTAGAGCACTGTTGGTGACCAGAAAAATATACATAACAATAATCCTTGCATTTGCTACAATTCCTTATCACTTTGTCTAGATGCTCAAAGTGCTTCACAGGAGCATCCCTCCACTCCTCTGCACTCCCCTACCTCTCTGACCTCCACTCCTCTGCACTCCCCTACCTCTCTGACCTCCTCTCTCCTCAAAATAGTGCCCGTTGCCTTCGTTCCTCCGGGTCTGGCCTCCTCCTTGTCCCCCGAGTCCACCACTCCATCCTCAGCAGCCGTGCCTTCAGCCACTATTTTGCCCACAAAATATACAGTCAATTACACTAAAGTAACATAGTGCAGTTTATTTATTTATAACTTTATTTATTATAAATTTATTTAATCTTTGTGTTATTTGTTGTAACACAGTGCAGTGCTACATCTAGGTGCACTTCATGTTTTGCTTTGCAAGCAAGACACCTGGGTTCAATTCCAGGCAGGGCGAAACCTTGGGCAAGTTTCCTTACTCCACACAGAGCCTAATAATAATCCCTCCAAAAAACCCAAAAAACAATAATAAATTGGTCATTTTCAATCTACGACTGTTTGTGGGACATTGCTGTGCGCAATTGGCTGCCGCGTTCGCCCACAAATATACAGTCAATTCACTTTACAGTATATTCTGTGAAGCGCTTTGGGACGTCCTCCCGACGTGAAAAGCGCTATATCAAATGCAAGGATTATTATTATTATTATTATTATTATTATGTTGCACTGTATATGCGAGTACACACAGTCACTACACTTTACAGTAAAATCTTTTTGAGATGTCACCCTAATGTGAAAGGCACTGTATCAAATGCAAAGATTAGGTTGATGAAACTCATTGGGAATCGTTGGTCCATTTTTTGTTTTCAGTTAATATATCAAAAGAGTGGAGATTCCTTATGATAACTGGAGGCTTCTCCCAGTAACTGGAGGCACATTATGTGTGTTCGAGGTGATGTGCGGGAACTCTGCCTGGGAGGATTTCCCTCGATCACTATGATGTATTTCCAGATTCCGTAATTAAGGAATTCTTTTTGAAATCGCCAGGTTTGGAGCACACTGGCTCCATGGCATGTTTATGATTGATGCACAAATTGTGTTGTTGGATGCACTGTATCTCTTAAAAATTCACTGACCTTTCTGACAATGACACTGGAGACGTGCATTTACAACCAAACAAAAACATTGTTCACAATGGTTGAGAGTTATAATAAAAATAATCCTTGCATTTGATATAGCGCTTTTCACGTCGGGAGGACGTTGTTCATGATGTCCACCTCTTCAGCCGAAGTAATGAGTTACAAGTAAAAAACAAAAGTGTCTGGAGTTTGAAACTGGTACTAAATCAATGCATGAATGGAAGTAGATTAAGAACGTTTATCTGCTCGTAAGCGTTAGAAACTGCTTCACTACATTCCCATGTGTTTTAAAATGAATAAATTGTCTTTTGTTTTTTTATCAGAATTGAGGTTTTCCTGTCTTGTACTTCTAGCCATTCTTTTTCCCCGTGGTCCTGCAACCGCATCCACCTCAGCCCCTCCCACCCTTCCTCCCTCGTTCCTCCCATCCGTCCCTCGCCCACTCCATCTCCCACCACCCTCACCTTGCTCCCTCCTTCCCCGACTTTAAAGTCTACCTTAAGACCTATCTTTTCAGCTGTATTTTCAATTAACTCCATTCCTCCCTACCCTCCTAACCTCAGGCTTTCAGTTAGTTAGGTGAAGCACTTCAAGATATGCTCCCCAAGTGAAAGTAACTAAATTAACGTTAGTTGTTGCTGTATTTCTAACTCATATATTTGCTTGTTCTCCTCAGGCAGTACCAGAGTAAACCTGGTGAAGATCCCGTCCACTGCCTCCAGCCCTCGTGATACTGCTCTGGCAGCTGTTATATGCAGTGCACTGGCTATGGTTCTGCTGGCTCTCCTCATCCTGTGTGTCATTTACTGCAAGAAACAATTTATGGAGAAAAAACCCAGCTGTAAGTTTCCTGTTTTGAATTCCTTGGCTTCCACCTTGGTGTAAATCCATTGACCTTGGAGGCCTGAAATCTCATCTGCTCTTAGCCTTAAGGCCACTGTCTTCATAATTTGAGAGAGTGCAGAAATTTGGAGAATTCTTAACTTTGGTCTTAATTTGGAAGCTGTCTTTCTGGTTTTATGGTTGGTTACATTGGAAAGCTTCTTTGGGTCCTGTCCTTCCAGCAAAAAAAATCTAACTGTGTTTTGCATTCACAGATGAAAAGTCATTGGATCCAATTGCTTCATGCTAACTCTTTGTTACAGAGTTGGGTCGGCCCTATCTGGAAGTAGTAGGAGATCTGACTCCAAATGGGATGCTCCCAGATTTGACGCCAGCTTTGACACTGTTTTCCATTACCTGTTGCCTCCAGAGAGATGGGCTTGACTCTGGAGACAACTCTATGTAAAAGCACCATTAGTCTCCCTTTCTAACCAAATGTAATTAGCAGGGCCGATCCTGAATGGGAGCAGCATGTAATATTTTCCTTTGAACAGCCCAGTGTCTGTGTTGTTTGTGCGTCTGTGGTGTTTGTGTTTGTGTGTAGGGTGCGTATCTGTAGTGGTTGGTTTGTGTGGTGGTTGTGTCCGTGGTGTACGTATGTCTGTAGTGTGCGCTGTGCCTCCCTGGTGTGTGTATCTGCGATATATGTGTGTATGTGTGTATCTGTGATGCGTATGTTGCATGTCAGTCTGGGAGGCAGAGGACCCAATTGGCATAATAATCGGTTCCAGATCTTGCTCAAAAATTGTACTCACTATAATTGAAAAGGCAATGTTTTCAATTAGACTGACTCAGGGCCAGAACAAACAATTCCATTGAACTGACCCCGATCTCCGTTAATTCGTCCCACTGAAATGGCATGTGCCTTACAGTCTAAAGTCAATCCGTGTACTTTAAAGACCAACTAACTGCTTGCAATTAGGAATAGCTTTGACCTTTGCCTTCTTAAAAGCTTGAGGTTCGTAAAGTTTTTCTTCTTGATGGTTGTGGGAAACATGTGTTTGTTGAATTTTTAAAAAAAACTATTTTGTCAGAAGTTTGTGTTTGTAGCTTGATGTAGAGTGGTTCATGTGGTTAACAGGCTATTTACACAAACCATTCTCAGTGTTCTCCATGAAGTCCTGTATAGAGAACGTTAGTCATTTGTGCCCTAAACCGTGACTTCTCATTTCCTTCAAGCAAGCGTGGCGCTTTATTTATAACCTAGCTAAAGCCCTCCTTAAATCTCTTAACCCATGGCACTACATAACAAATTGCTGGCCAAACCCACATTTGTCCTGTCTGCAATACAAGTGATAAACTGCTGCTGTGTTACATCAGATTTGGATGCCTGTGAAGTCTCACTTATTTCTATTGAAATGTCTGACACTGCAATTGGTGTTCATTGTCCCAATATATATTTTTAAAGCACAGCTTTGTTCATTTCAATATGCTTACAATCTAGATCACTATATGAAATTTGTAGTTTCCAGTAGTTTGATGATATTGAATAGCATTCGGAAAACATTCAACAACATCTGGCATTTATATCGCACAACTCATATAGGATAACGTCTCAGAGCGCTTTACAGTGATGGGGCCGGGCACTGAGCAGGGAGAGGGGGAAAGAGAAAAGAAGTAGGTTTCAAGGCGGGACTTGAAGACAGATAGTGAGTGGGTGACATGGAGGGGTAGAGACCGGGAGTTCCAGAAGGTTAAGATCAGAATTTCAGATAATAAGAATCTGAAAGCTTGGCCATCGATGGTGGCACAGATAAGGTGAAGGGTGCACAGCAAGTCTGAGTTAGCCAAGTGATAGGGGTAAGCAGAGGAGTGGGGTAGGAGGACATCACAGAGATAGGAGGTACTAGAGCATGAAGGGATCTACAGATGAGAGTGAGGATCTTGAAATCAATCGACTAGGAGACAGTGAGACAGTGGAGCCTGGTGAGGATAGAGGTAATGGACATGGGGTGTTTGGCGCAGGTGATGGATAGTCGAATTAGGAAACATCATAAAACAGAACCTCCATATTAGTAGGATATTGAAACCCAATTAGATCGATCAGGACCCCAGCTCACTTGGAGTATCAAATCGACGAGAGCTATATAAGCAGGGGAGGCTAAGGTGACTGCAATAGTGTTTCACAATTCTTTATTGTTGGGTAAAGTTCCAATTCTTTCCCTTTTGCTCTCTCCACAGGGTCGATGAGACTGCAGGATTCTCAGCTGGATAGTGCTGAACTGACTCCCTTTGGCAGACACAAGATTAACTTGAGTCCACACAGAACCTGCACACATTGTCAGCAGGGCCCGGTGCAGGCTTGTGGTGAGTGCAGAAAAAAATCAAGAACTGCTTTATTACAGACTTGGCTATACTCCCTCTGTAGTGTGATAGTGTTGGCTCCCCCCCCCACCCCAAGTGCCTGCTTTAAGTGTTTATACTGCAGATTATCTTCTAATGCATTTGTGATAAAGCGATAAATATGAAGACAGTGAGTTTGGAGAAGTCATTTTGTTTGTGCACATATTGCTAACAGGAGCATAAAAGAGTACTCCACATTTATGGGATACTGATGCCCAGTTCAATTGGCTTCTCTTCCTTTCCCACCCCTCCCTCCCCTCATGGTTCACTGAGGACAAAGTTGACTTGTAAGGCCTAAATTTGTATCTTGATTAATAATAACAAATCATAATCTTACATATAATATTGCGCCTTTCACCTCAAGAGAATGCCTCAAAGGACTTCACAAAATAAACTGTAAAGTGTAGTGACTGTGTCATTCATACGCAGGCCAATTTGTGTTTATCAATGTCCCAAAACAGTTATGAAGTGAGTGACCAATTTACTCGGGGGGTTGTTATCCATGACACCAAGGGAAACTCCTCATTCTTTTCGAGTAGTGTAATGGGATCTTAAAATATTCACCTGAACAGGCACAGGCAGGACTTTGGTTTAACATCTCATTGTTAGAAGACAATTCCAACAAAACAGTGTATTGGAATATCAGCCTAGACTGAGGTCAGATACCACTATATGTATTGTTGATCTAGAGTCCAGAAATGCAGAGAGGTACTGCTGCATTTTGCTGCTCCCATTACTTGTCACTACCAGTGGAAGCCCACACTGCCATTCCTGTTATTGCAGGAATTTCAATTGAGGCAAATCACTGCCTTTGCAGCAGGGAAGGTTGAGGTGTACATTACTGAAGTAACTTCAGTGTTCAGTTCAGCACCTGTTCTTGGACTAATTTCGTACATGAGGGAGAAGGGAATATAGGAGGTGGGAGCTTGTCTGGAGTATAAACACCAGGGAGGGCTGTTTGATCCGAACAGCCTGTTTTGGTGTATGTATCAGCTTGGCTCAATTGGTAGCACTCTCGCCTTTTGAGTCATAAAGTCACTGCACATTGTGTCTCGTAACCCATATGGTCTGTGCTGACACTCCAATGCAGGGCTGGGGGTGTTTCTGCATTATTGGAGGTGCTGTCCTTTACATGAGACATTAAACCTGCCTGTTCAGGTGGACATTGAAAGATCCCATGGCAGTATTTCAATATATATATTGAATATATTCAATATATGAGTATATCAAATACAAGAATTATTATCAGGTGACTATGTAAAGTGTATCAAACCTGCGTCAGTGACATTGATTTCCATTCAGAACTCGCTACCAAGCTGATCAGACTCCAGAGCTGAGTATATCATAAAAAGAAGTCGGGAATTCTGGCCAGAGGGTGTCTGGATCTCTATTTTATCCCTTCACAATTCAGGGATATTCAGGAGCATTCTCACTGCTGCTATTAGCTGAGAACAACAAACCTGGGTTTGTCCTGAGTTCACAGCTGCAATCTTCTGGGCTCTCTTAGTGCTGTACTGGTGGTTTTATCTACTAAGCTTTTGGGGACCTTCATTTGAATGGGTTTGGTGGAAGGCTATATATAGACTGATTGCTGTAAATAGAGGCATTTCACTATTGGGAGAGTTGATCGTTGACTACATTGCTTAGGGAAACTAATCCTAGGTATTCACAGTGGCGGATGTGAAGTTTGCTGTCTGTTTGTCTGTCTGTGCATCCTACTTGCCTTACCCTTTTGGTGACCTTTGGGAGAGTATGAGCTTTCACACGAGAAGATCCTGAACTAGGCAGGTGTTTGGAAACTGCCCCATTTGGGTGGTTGCAGTGGATGGAGGAAGAAGACAAGGAAATTGCATGGTCACTTGACCCCTGTGCTCCCAAGTGGAGAATCACAGAGATAGTCATATTAGCCTTCAGAACAGCTCACTCTCATCCATTCTTCATGAGTGGCAAAAGGTGACAAAGAAAATAACAAATAAAGCTGGATGGAGTTTCTAAACCAACTCGGGTCCTTTATACAGTATCCATTAACAATGCCTTCAAAGCCTGCTCATCTGAGAGAATTGACGGCAGATTGAATCTGATCCATGGAAAGTCCTATTTTAAAAGTATCAAACCTAAATAGTGTGCATTCTTTTTTCTTATTATTATCACAGGAGTCCTGTAGCTCAGTGGTTAGAGTGAGGTTAGAGCCTCACAAGTGAGACCTGGGTTCGATTCCCGGTGAAACCTTGGGAAAGTTTCCTTACTCCACACGCCTGATAATAATCCCTCAAGAAAAAATCAATAATAATTTGGCACACTGCTGTGCGCAATTGGCTGCCATGTTTCACCCACAAAAGATACAGTCAATTCACTTCACACTATATTCTGTGAAGCGCTTTAAGGCGTCCAGAAGACGTGAAAAGCGTTATATCAAATGCAAGGATTATTATTACTGGTAATAGTGTCTATGTCGTTTTTTGTTTTTATTCTTCTGCAGCTCTTCTGGAGCATAAGTCACAAATCTCCCACTCTGGTAACAAAATAACTTCCATCTGGTAATTATCAGAGTATTAGTCAGAGCAGGATATTGCTGAACCAGTAATTGCCCTGCAAGAAGCCAATCTGCCAGTAATGCAGCCTAACACCAAACAGTCTCGTGCGGTGTTCCTCAGGGCTCTGTCCTCGGTCCCCTCCTCTTCAACCTCTACATACTCCCCCTTGGTGACATCATCCGCAAACATGGGGTCAACTTCCACATGTACCCGGATGACACCCAACTCTATCTCTCTGCCTCCACCCTCGAATCCAGGGCAACTGACATCCTGACAAACTTGTCTGTCTGACATCAAGTCCTGGATGAGAGACAACTTTCTACAGCTAAATGTCAGCATGACTGAGGCCCTCTTGATTGGCTCGCGCCAGCGGCTCAGCACCTCAGGCACTGGCAGCATCAGCATCCACGGTTGCACACTCCACCTCGCCAAACCAGTTAGGAACTTGGGCATCCCGTTCGACCCTCAACTGTCCTTTCACCCCCATATCCATGCCATGACCAGCTCTGCCTTCCCCCACCTCCGCAACATTGTCCAACTCCGCCACTGCCTCACCCATCAAATATCAAATGCAAGGATTATTATTATTATTATCAGGCCGCCAAAACCCTCATACACACATTTGTCACCTCAAGACTCGAGTACGGAAACTCCCTGCTTATCGGCCTCCCCAACCCTTCCCTCCACAAGCTGCAGGTCATTCAGAGCTCTGCAGCTCGTGTCCTCTCCCGTATCAGGTTCCATGACCCCATCACTCCCACCCTTGCCTGGCTCCACTGGCTCTCCATCCATCAAAGCATAGAATTCAAAATCCTCGTTCTCACCTTCAAGGATCTCCATGACCTTGCCCCCACCTATGTTTCTGACCTGATGACCCCCTATCAACCTGTCCGCTCCCTCCGCTCAGTAGGCCCGGCCTGCTCCAGGTCTCTCACCTCCCCCCACCCCCCCGACCCGCCCTGCCATCAGCGGCCAGGCTTTCAGCCTCTCTGTCCCCACTCTTTGGAACTCCATCCCACAATCCCTTCGCCTTGCCTCTTGCCTCCTTCAAGGCACGACTCAAGACCCTCCTTTTTGACTGTGCCTTCAGCTGCCCTCCTACCCCCTCTGCCCTCCCTCATCCCCACTCAGCCCCCAAGCTTGGGTACTGATCCCTGACTGTTCGGCACCTTGAGACGTCCTCCCGACATGAAAGACACTTTACAACTGTAATTTTGTTGTTGTTGTTGTAACAAAGGCCTTTTTAACTGAAAACATTCCTGAATATCAGAAATTACCACTGGTGATGTTAACGCATTGTTTAATGTTTCACCCTGTTGATAACTAAGATATAAAGTGCTTCATGGATATGATTCTGCTTTTTTCTCTCTAAAAGAACCATTGGTTTAATCAGATTTGGCTTGTGATGATGGACAACATAAACCAAAAATAGCGGCTTTAGGCTAAAGTGGCCACCATACTTTAGAGATGGCCACCGTAGACTAAAGTATGCTTCAGATATGATTCTTGTTGAGGTTTCTTTAGTGGTTGATTTGGATTGCGATTTGCAGCCCTTCAAAGGCACTTTACGGGATATCAACGTAATCAAATGCGTCGCCTGTAAAGCGGCACCTGAATCACTCCTGCTGCCTGTAAAGTGGCTTATCCAAGTGAGAATCTAATGACAGCTCCAAGCTCTGTTCAGTCAGGAAAAATGTTTGTGCAGGGAGTATTTCAAAGCTTGTTAAATAAGGAGTGGAATGTGTTTGTGTTTTTGACCCCATTTTCCCCTTTGAACTCACAGAGTGGAGTCCCTTCACCAGTGAGTGTATGTTGTATGTGTTGACTGACTCCACTGCTTATATTTTTGTTCCCTTAGGGCCTGTTCACCTGGTTCCATCCTGCTGCTTTGATGAAACATGCAGTCTTGGGTACAGCAGCGAAAGCTCATACCCTCCATCAGGATCTATACGCCATGAAAGGTAACAAGAGAAATGAAATGTAAAGTGTCCGAAAACTACAAGTTTACTTCTCAACAGTTAGCACTTAGCTGCATAAAGAAAGAGGGAGCATGGGTGAAACCAGTGAGAGATAAGTGCTCATTGAAGCCACTCAACTCCAAATGGACAACAACAACTTGCAAATACACAGTGTCTGTTAATAGTAATTTGAGGTTCTCTGTCCCACAGGAACATCGACTGTGCTGGAGATTTGCACCCCTCTCTCCTTGAAGTCTTTTCACCCTCGTTCAGTGGAGACCCCTTGGAGGCCTGTCCTCTGATGCAGAGCTCCACCTGCAGTGACACTGCTTCTTTCTGTGAATCTCTTCTGCCATCCAGCACTGAACCCCTCCTGGACCGTGTCGCTCCTTTTAGCCCAAAGACTGAAAACCTAACAATCCCACCTTCAGATACCTGTGCGAGGCTGGAGGATCAGCCCGATTCACTTTCCCTCCAGTCTCTTTCAGTCGAGGTGCCTGGAATTAATGAGCAAGTAGGTACAGAAGCCCCTGAAGATCTGGCCTTGCTCGATGCTGAAGCTCACTATCAGCATCAGATAGAGAACAATACTGAGCACACTCCAAGTGGGGATGTTGAGGTAATAATAATAATATTTCTTGCATTTGATATAGCACCTTATCACACCTCCGAGACATTTGAATGTGCTTCACAGAAAAGTGTATTTTGTGGGTAAGCAAGTAAGTGGGAGAGTGAGATTAATAATATATTATAGCATGCACTAGGACCTCAGGGCTGGAAGGCTTGAGGGGTAGAGCCTGCTGTGCCTTCTTAAGGAGGTGTGGATATCCCCATCTCTCTCTTGGTGCTGGGCTGAGAGGGTGAAGACACTGGGCTGGCTCCAGGTTAGTTTATGGTTAGAGTGGGGTGGGGGGATTGCAAGTACTTGGGTTTGTGAGATGTGTAGCACCCCCACAAGCATAAATGAAGCATAAATAAGGGAGAATGGTATACAGGGGTATAAAATAGGGGATTAGGAGAAGTGGAGGTTTGTGTGGAGTATAAACAGGGTGGGGTGGGGGATAGAGGTGGGACAATGGACTAATTTAAAAAGCAGTGATGGGAGGACAGTAGGGTGAGTATTTTGAAGGGATGAGATTAGATGGGCCAAAGAGCTTTCGTCATCCAAACTAATCTTGTGACCTTGTCTTTAAACAAAATGAGAGCTTGTCATACCCGATAACTGGTAGGTCTGACCAGCAATGGTGGGTCACCCTGTTTTTTTAAACGGGAGGCAATCCAATTTACCAGGTTTGAAACTTGAGGCACAACCTCTCAATAGAGTTTATGAAATGTAGGATCAAAGGCTTAAGACAATGAGAAGCGATGAGGGAAGTTGGGTGTATTACAATGAAAAGTCAGACCTGTCACTTTTTTTCATTATCATTAATATTGCATTCGTGTGGAGCCTCCCCTAATGCAATATTAATAACAATTAAGTGAAAGACTTCTAAATGGTTCATTGCTCAATCCAAAGGCTGCAGCTTCAATATGTTCAGAATCAGGTTTACTTCAAGCAGCTAGTGGGTCATGCTAGGAGGAGCACACAGGCAGACCATTTATTCAATAGCAATTTGTATCATCTATCGCTTTTCGTGATGGGCGGACCTTTCAAAACTGCTTGACTGGGAGCTTAGCTGATGGGGAGAGTGAGCTGAGGAGATGGGGGGAGGGGATGGAGGCACAATCAAATTAATCCCATTTAGGTGCCTTCACATTTAGAACATAGTTCACCCACAGCCCTAAGGCCAGGTGCTCATATATAGCATACCTTGTCTGAAGAGTTACTGCTTCTAACCATAGAGGTGTCAATCAAAATGCTCAACATGGTGGCTTAACTAATGTTTACACGTTTCTTCAAACTTTCAAACTACGTCTTTGCCTTTGAGAGATATTGTTAGCATTCCCTTTGGTGATAAAATGTTAAATCTGCTAATTTTCAGCCATTAATATGGGGAGTGTAATGATTTTTTGTTGATATCCAATAAAGTAGATTTAGCTTTAGATAATTATGTTGGATTTGACTGATGGACTGACCTAGTTGTTATTTAGTTGATTTTATTCACAGTGGTAATCATTTATAATAATAACCCTTGCACCTACAATATCTAACAGTGCCTCACAGTAAATTGTTATGTTGAGCAACGTGTATTTCAAGGAAAATGCAGAAGCTAATTGCACACAGCAATGTCCCACACTAGCCATAAAGTGAATGATTAATTTTAGTTTGGGGATTACTACTCAAGATTTCCCACTATTTCTTTTCAAATAGTATCATGGGATCTTTAATGACCACCTGAACAGGCAGACATTTTAATCTCATCCAATAAATTAATAAACCTTGCATTTGGTATAGCGCATTATCAAGTCATCAAGACATCCAAAAGCGCTTCTTAAGATATACTGCGAAGTGGGTTAACTGTATTTTGCGGGCAAATGGACTGCACCTCCATCGCACTCCCTTTCGTGCATTCATTGTTTTGACCCTCATTATTAACTGTATTTCTCTATTTTCAGGAGCGTGCCTAGGACACCGCACTTAGACCATGCCAGAGGAGTACAGTACCTTGCTTATTGATGCTTCTCTGTTGAACCTTTCAAGCTGAACATATATCCTTCGGAGATGTGAGGTTCCAGGAAACCAAGTGATCAGCCTGGAATTGTCCCAGCTTAAGTGGCAAATTGTACATTGCGTCCATCTGTCTGTCTTTATTGCAGAGGATGGCCACACCTTAAATGAATATATGGCTTAATTTTAAGCGACTGTCTATTTTCTTCTACTTGTGACTTATTAACTGTTTTTCGTGTGCAACATTTGACACCCTTTGCAACACTCCGAGGAAAGGAACTTTAGTGAAGCAAAGGTGGAAACGAAGACTGCTGTTGGAGGTCACAGTGTGGTACCATTACGTGCAAAATGAAGATCAATGGGCTTAAGACGCTTTCTGACATGTGAATCATTAGCAACTGCAGCCTTGGACACTGATATTGGTGGGTAATGGGATCCCACTCAGAAGATTTTGACTCTTTAGGCAACAGCCATAATTAAAAGTCTTTGTTATTGGAACTGTAGAAGCTGGAGCTGTAGAATAATGCCATTGTACACTTTTAATTTTTTAAAAATGCAGTACATTATGATGAGGATTTTTAAAAAGTATTTGAAGGGGGGTTAACTGCGGATTTTCCATTATGTTCTATCTGTACTGACACATAGTATTTCAACATAGAAATGGTAACGCTGTATGTACGGTCAGTGTGATTTAATGCTGTTTATTGTTCTGTATGGACTAGTAGTTCAGTTTAATTGATGCTGTAGTAAGCAGTGTAACATGCTGAGGTAGTGTTGAATGCCTTGTCATTTGTACATGTTCACACATGTTGTGAGTAGCCAGGAGGAGTGCTTGCTCATCAGACAATGTCAACTTCTTTCTGGGGGTTCGGATGACTTTTTAAAGTTGAACCAGGAGCTTTTGGCATTGTTTCAATAAAGGTTGAACTGTGGTGCTCATATATGATTTATTAAACAAAAGTTGGCTAACAAAGTACATCTGAGTAGATTAGATGTTAAAATACCTTATTCTACATTAGCGAATTCTTACTTACGAAAGTTGTTTAAAATTGGCCACTAGCTGGCCACTGACACAATAAATTAATGAGAAAAAAAAGCTATTGAAGTGTCTTGGTGCATCTTTGAACAGTGAAATTCCCTCTTGAATGAGTGTAAGTTTGCTGCTGCAGCATAAGCAACTTGGGTTTTATAGCTTAAATAAATGCTGAGTGCTTCAGCTTGGATGGAGTCATTGTATCAATGAAAAGCTATTATTACCGGTTCATGCAAAGGGGCGAAATGTGCACCCTTTGTAACTAGTGACTTGGGCATGTGAATCCGAGACCCGTACTATATTGATTGTGCTTTAAACATCAATGTTAAGAGGCGAGTCCCAGTACAGACTTACAATAACTATAGGGATGTTAAGATTTTTCATATAATTAAGGTTCAAGCCTCACACTGAGATTTGAGCTCAGTCTCATCCGACACTGCAGTGAGGTATTTGAGGAGCACAGCTCTGTAAGAAATGCCATCCTTTGGATGAATCATTAAACCAAGGCCCCATCCACTGCTTCAGATGACATTAAAGGGCCCTGTGCACTATTGCAAAGTCACTGCAAAGAAAAGCTGAGACTTCTTTTGTTATCATAGGTGTCCTGGCCAAGATTCTGCTGCAACTAAATTAACAAACCAGCTTCAATGTAGTTATTCATCTCATTGCTCTTTATGGAACGCTGTGTAGATTAGCCTTTACCTATATAACACATTTCAATGTCATTCATACTTTTAAACACTTTAAAACATTTCCATGTTTAAAATTAGTAAGGCCGGTGGTCAAAGCTGTGAAGTGAGCTAATGGGATACCAGGTTTTATATAGAGAAGAATATTAAAACAAAGAGCTAATTATTGACCCATATAAACTATTAATTACAGTGCAGTAAGAGTATTGTGTCCGTTTTTGCTCACACCAATTCAGGAAGGATATCAGGATCACAGAGAGGGTGCAAAGGAGATTTACTGGGTTGTATCAGGGATGAGTGTTTTGACCTTTGATCAGAGACTGGAGAAACTGTTTTCACTTGAACAGAGAAGATTGAAGGGAGACCTGATAAGAGTTTTAGAGTTTTTTTAAATTACGCGGGGCTTTGATAGAATTAATGTTTAAAAAGGATTAATAAGAGATTTTGGAGCTTAGTTTATTAAGGGAAATGGAGAAAAGGCAGTCTCCATTCCTCTGAAGGCATTCCTCTGAAATGTCATTCAGAGCTCTGCCGGATCTAATAAATCATCAGACAAGCTCGATGGATTGAATGGCCTCTTGTTCCTGTCAATCTACAATACACCCAGTAGCTCACGGCACCACACATAATGAACTGTCTATAGCACTGCATCAAGAAAAGACAAATGTAAAGCTGATGTTCAAGTCTTGTCAAAAATGTGCCCTGGGGACAAGATTGCTTTGAAATCATTATTGTTTACTTTAAAGAGTTTGCATCAGGGATAAGATGCCACAATCATCTTGTTCTCCAGTATAATGTGTGTCCAAATCCAATATTAATTTGACAGGCTTTTATTTTATTCAGTTTCTCAATGCTGTGTGTCAACTGCAATCAGGATACTTTGGGCTAAGCGTGTGACTGCATCACTCAATTCCAGACTGCAACACTGCAACACCCCCTCCCAGCATTGCATTGGAATATCAGACTAGATTATATGATTTCAAAGTCCTGTGTGGGGCTTGAATCCACAAAGACTCAGAGGTGAGAGTTTTACCAACTGAGCCGGACTGACACTTAGAGGTAGGCTTTGCTTGTAAGTATTCATCTGTTTTGATAATTACAACTACCAATCACTATCATATTGCTTACATATCACATTTTTCCACCCAATGCAGTCAGTTTTTCTTGCACATTCCAGAAATTAAAGACACTCCCATTGCCAAACATATAATTAACTGGGTGCTGCTGTACAGGAACTGCTTATTACTGCCATTAGTTCATTCATCTTTCCATCTTACCTTCCAGAAGAGCAACAGATTCTCATAAAGGCCTTCCGAACGTCTGATTGAGTATGATTGAGAAGGATTTGGCAATGTATGGCTGACAGATGTTTGTGCTGCTATTGTACGGCAGATATGAGCCACTTGTATCAGCTTTTTATATTAAACAAATGTATATTAGTGCCTTTGGGAGGGCACCTCAAGACGTTTGACAGTCCTGACTTTGCACGCAAGTTAGGGGTGGGAACCGAGGGGAAAGGTGACTGAAGGCATGGTCAAAGAGAAAGGATCTTGAGATGATTTAAACATTCGCTTCAGCAAGGAATTACTCTGCATTTGATGAAAATTCATGCAGAGAAATTCCATTTGGATCTAGATTTACTTTCTTTAGTCTAGGCTGATACTGCAGTGCAGTGCAAGGGGTATGCTGCATTGTCAGAGATACCATCCCTCGGATAAGATGTTAAACTGAGGTCCCATGTGCCTGTTCAGCTGGTTGTTAAAGCTCCCATTGGCGCTAGGGTGAGAGAGGCAATCAGAGGCTCAAGCAGTCACTACCCTCAAGCAGCAGGTTACCTCAACAAAGGATCAGTCCTGCCTTACAGTAAGTGCACAAAAAACAGTGAGCTCTGGCAGCCCGTCTTGCAGTGAGAGACCTCGACTAAAGCTTACCCCTCCCCCAGCGCAGTGTGCAGCCCCCAACCAGAGTCTAGTGATGCAGTAGCTGAGTGATTCCAGCTGCTGCGTTGGCCTGTAACTCGACAGATTCTGTAAATATGCCCCTCGCTGATGCTTCAAAGCAATCCAGATTTTCTTCTGATCGCTATTGCCAAAGCAGAGCGAGCAGATTTTTCCCAGTAGAGCGAGTTAATCTGCCACATTCAGATACATATAATGCTTTGTTGGAGTCATAATAAAGTCAGGTGGGGGGGGGAAGGGGGAGATGGATGACTGAAATAACTCCACGCCACGTTTCAGAGCTTATGAAATATTTCAAAAGAAGAAGTAAAGGATAAACTGCGAGATCGTAGGTGATCAGACTCCACAGAAGGTGTTGCCATACCAAAACAAAGCACCCAATAAGCCACAGCGCAAGCTCGAGGAACAGCACCTCATTTATCTGCTAGGGACCTCACAGCTATCTGGCCTCAATATTGATTTCAACAATTTCAGACCATAACAGCTCATCTTCTCCCTCCCCCTTTTCTGTGACCATTTCCATATCATCTGGGTCCCAGATACACCTTTTCTCTCTCTGATCTGCCTATTTTGTTGCAATTTTCTCCCCCTTTTGTTCTATATTATTAACACCTCTATTCCCCTGTTTTGTTGCAATCCCCCCTTTGTTTTGCATCATTAACACCTCTTTAACTCATCATCCCATTTTCCACCCCATTTTCTCCTTTGTCTTCCTTGTCCTGCCTCCCCCCTCTCTGTTAGCCCTTAAAAGCCTCTCTCTCCCAACATGCCCCAGTTCTGACGAAGGGTTGTGAACCCAAAACATTGACTCAATTTCCTTTCTTCATAGATGCTGCCTGACCTGCTGAGTGTTCTCAGTGACTTCTGTTTTTGTTCCATCCTCCTCCACCTCCTTTCCTCTGTTATCCACCTCAGTGGGACCGCACTCGCCTGGTTCGAGTCCTACCTTACAAACCGCCAGCAGTACATCTCCACAAACGGCTTCTCCTCCTCCTGTGGGGTACCCCAAGGATCCATCCTTGGCCCCCTCTTCTCCTAATCTACATGCTCCCTCTTGGGGATGTCATCCGCAGACATGGGGTACACTTCCACATGTATGCGGACGACACCCAACTCTACTTTTCCACCTCACATTGCGATCCCCAGTCACCTGATGTTCTGTCAGCCTGCCTGTCAGACCTCAGGAGCTGGATGAGCACGAATTTCCTTCAGCTAAATGTTAACAAGACGGAAGCCATATTCTTTGGCTCTCGTCAATGTTTTCAATCGCATAGTTCTCACCTCCTCCACCTACACGACCTGCCACTAAACCTCTCCGAACCCGTACGCAACCTAGGCGTCAGGTTCAACCCCCAATTATCCTTTCTCCCCCACATACGGTCCTTCACTAGCAACGCTTTCTTCCACCTCCAACGCATTGCCCATCTCCGCCAATATCTCACCCCAAAAGGTGCCGAAACCCTGGTCCATGCCTTTGTCACCTCTCGGCTGGACTATTCAAATGCCCTCATTACCGGTCTCCCCTCCAGTACCATTCATAAAATCCAGGTCATCCAGAATTCCGTTATAATAAAATTTATTTTTTATTGTACTTCATTACCTGGACTACCTCCTACACTCCCACTATATCTAAATGAAGTTCCATCGTTCCTCTGTGTTGGGATCTGTCACAAACTCTGGACCCTGGGTGTGCACAAGTTCTACCCAGCTATCTTGCTCAGCTCGGACACAAGCAAGAACGATCTTAACTCTACAGGATTGAGTACCTTCTCACAGAGAAATTACAATTGTGGTTTAATTCCAAGACTGTTGTAATGATGGAGACTGACTTGATTGATGTTTGTCCATTGGATTTTTTTAATAAAGAGTCCACAGAGATGGTTGATTTTACAGTGCGTTCTTTGTTACAGAAGCTTAACTGTCAATGCTGCAGGATCTAATATACAAGATTTCTATCTGCATTCTATCTGCGGATTCCTTTCTATAAATGGAAGCCAAATTGACCCAAACTTTGGCAAACTCTGCTCCAAAAGTACATTGTGCCAATTATACCTCAAAGGAGTATATTTCATGAGTTACTTCCAGGTTCCTCATTTAGGGGTCCGGTTAGAAATTGCCACAAATCAGACCCCGAATGTTCCCTTTAATCATTTTGAACTGGAATCACTGCATCTGCAGATTTAATAAGTTCTTTATGGTGCGGATGTGAAGCATTTTTTGTGTGTATTATTCATTATGAGAACATGCCAGTTCTGAATGATAGCCATGCGATAGATAGTGTGGAAAGAATGTGAAGACTGAGGTTTGTGAGACACCCTCAGGGCTTCTCCAGGTGTAGTCAGATAAGGTTTGCAAAATGTTTGCAAATTGTTATCACTTGGTGCTCAGCACTGTTTAATAAGAAATCATTTTTGCAGTTC